AAAAGATAGTAAAGAACTAACCAAATTAATGCCTCATACCCATGCTTTGGTACCTAACAAGGATCTGTGGAGAAAACAGTTAATATGAGTGGATAAAACCTTTCCATGCTGTGTTAGACCTTGTCTATGACTGACTTAATATATGATGTTAACCTTCCTTTGTTTTACAGATGTGAAACCCATTTGAAAGATATCTGAAGAAACAAAGGCCAGCTATAGCTGTAAGATTCTTGGTAGCTTTATGGTTAGGTCAGATAAAAACAGAGCCTCTCAAAACTATACAACTGTTAAGAAAATCTACAGTACCAGGGGTGGGTTGCCCCCTATGAGCTATTGGTCAGAGAGAGATCCTAGAGGTCCTCAAATTCACCAAGGCTATTGCCACTAATGTTGATTGTACACTAGAAAGGTCGGTAAGGCCATGTTGCTGAAGACACTGCATGATGTGAGCATGGGAGGAAAATAAAAGATGGAGCTGAGACTAAGCCAAAAACTCCATGCCACTGGATGGATGACATTCATAGTACAAGAAGGAGCTATGTAGATGGTTGGGGAAGAAAGGATCCCCTGTGATTCTACTCAACAATGGACCCTGCATGCCGCACACTATGGACATGCCAAGCAATGCCTGCAAGTGCAGTAATTGCTTGACTAACATATGTACAACTGACAAATTTTTAATTGGATAAGGCCCGCTCCTAGGGATGGAACACACATCTGGTGCTGTAGACCAGGCCAACACCCTGTGTTGAGAAAGGCTACAGGCCCTAGCAGGGAAGCCATTACAAGTGTACTGTTTAATGAATATAGTGCACCTACTGGGATATCCTGTAGGCATTTGTATGTACATTCATGTTTGTTTAGATGTGTCTACTTCCTTCCATTTGTCTTTATAGTAGAAGATACACCACTGAGATAGATCAAAGGCCACAGCTTGAAGACAAATAATGGGAAGGCCCAAGAAGTCACTAACTCACCATGATACAAGAGAGATTGACCTACATGTGTCACCCCCTCCAAGGCTCAGGGACCATAGTGGAAGATTGGCGGAAAGATTTTAAGAGCTGGAGGAAGGGGTGGAGTGTTTCCCGAGGGGTGCTTATTTCTCCAAGGGGCAGGGCCTGCTGTGGAGAACTGGCTGCTGAGTGCTGGCTGAGGAGAGTTACCAAGAAGAGGGAGCTGTGAAGAGTTAGCCACAGAGGGAGGAACATTGGGGCCATCTTGGAAGCAAGTAGCATGAAAAAAATGGCCCCAGTGTCTTGCCCGTGTGGACATGAGAGGGGGCATATACAGACCTGGGGTGAGACTGTCGACGCACGATGCATGGGCAAAAGCTAGTGGGGATTTTGGGTGGGGCACGGAAGTGATCTGGAACAGCAGGCAGCTGAGCCACAGAGTGGGACAGGGAGCCAAGGTGTTTGCCTTTGTAAGTTACTCTATTTCCCCTACCCAGGATATAAACTATGAAAAATTCAGATAAAGGTGTGTTATATGGTTTGTCTAATAGCACCAGGAGCAAGGGAACCTAAGAGAACTCGGGTGACAGCATGGCAGTGTCATTGTGAAGCAGAGAGGCTATGGCAACCCACAGGAGACTCTGGTCATAGTCACGGCAATAAAATACAACAGCAGCACTTAGCTAGGTCTACTGCAATGGGGAAGGCATTCTCTCTTAAGGAGAGAGAGGGTCACAAGCCTCTCCCCCTGAGAGTCTGGTCACTACCCTCTCCTGCCCCAGTAGCAGGTTTAATCTAAAGTATGTAACAGGTTAAAAAATTAGCTAGATGTGGTGACAAACACCTATAATCCTAATACTTTACAGGTGGAGGCAGGAGGATCAGGAATTCAAAGTCAGGCTTGGCTATATAGCAAGTAGCTAAGGGTAACCTTGGCTACATGAGACCCTGTCTCAAAAAAAGGAGATTAAAAAAATAACCAGAGGGTTAGATTTTTCTATGTTATAGCTACCCATGAATTTCCCATGCTCCTATAAGTCATAATAAACACATTTACTTGCCAAGCTGGACTTAATGGATTTGGTCTGTCTTCTCCTTCCCTATTTGGGGTAGATATTTTTTATGTCTCTCCAGGAAAGTCACAAAGCAGAAATATGCATAATACTTTTAAAGCTAGCATAAGAAAAATGGTCAGAGCCTGACCTTAAAGTCAGTTTGACCTAAAGTTTCTCTCCAACTTAAGATGTCTCACATAAGGCTGCCTAGGTCAAGATTCACATTTGCTACACCACCAAGAATACTTGTGCTAGGTTTGTGTAGTCCTAATTGGATCTGTTCATCAAAAGGGAAAGAACTCACTAAAGGTCAAACTCATTAGATTTCATGATACCCCTAATGACAAGAAAAATTTCCACTCCTCACAGATCTCTCATCACCTGCCTGAAACATGAGAAGTGGAGAGATTTGGGGTGGTTCTTTTTTTCATGCCTCATTACATATTTTGGTTCCCTGAGGTCATGACAGAGGCGTAGGTATCTCCTGGCCCTGTCCCTGGATTTGGCATCATATGTCACAAGGAGAACAGAGATCCATACATTATGATCTCCTGCTAGAATTCTAATAGGTATAACAACTCAATCTCAATTGATTACCCAAGATCACACTATTCAATTTGTCCTTCTCTATATAACTCAAGTATTAAGTATCTCCATAGCCACCAACTGCATTTAAACTTCTAGACTACTAAGGTTACCATGTGCCACATTTAGTATCATCAAATTCCTTTAGAAGGAGCTTAGCACATGGGAGGCTGAGGCAAGAGAATCACGAGTTCATCTATCCTAGGCTACATAGAAAGATCCTGTCTTAAAACAAACCTAAAATCATTTGTAAAATGTAGTTCAGGAATGACAGCTTGGAGCAGAGCATAATTAGGTGTTCCATCTCCCTCAGAATCCTGTAGTAATGCACATGACTGTTCCTCATCTCTCCACTGCAGCCAAGCAATAGCTCAGATGCAAGGAAACCTGACTCACATCAGGCAGCTGCCTGGATATCAATATTTCTTACTCTTAAGAGCCAGTGTTTCTTTTTTTTAATTTATTTTTATTTTATGTGTATGACTGTTTTGACTGCATGTATGTACGTGTACTCATGTCATGCAATGCCCACAGAGGCCAGAAGAGGCAATGGATCCCCTGGAACTGGAGTTATAGACAGTTGCTAGGCACTATGTCGGTGCTGGGAATGAAGCCTAGGTCCTCTGCAAGAGTAGCTAATGCTCTTAACCCCTGAGTCTTCTCTCCAACCCCCAAACCAATGTTTTTTTGTAAGCATTCCACAGGCATAGCTTCCATGGCATCAGAGGTCTCAAAGAGTCTCCACACTCAGGGAGGCCCAAAGAATACTCCTTGGTCAGATCTTTATAGCTGTCAGTTCATGTAATTTGCCAGTGGAGTAATTGCTTTAATGTGGGTGAGGTTTATTCAGGGCACAGGGACCTTCTACCTTTATCAGGGTTCCAGGGGAACAGACAGGAGAGTGTTCAGTGTAGGTGAGTTGTCATGCGGGAAGGGCAAAAGCTTTGTTCATCCTTTTTCCAATACGCTTAGGTTCTAATTCAAGAGATCATAATTTATGGCAAATTTTAAAGAACTATAAATATTTAGTACTATTTATGTGGGGTTTTTCGTTCTTTTCAAACATTTAAATTTAACCTTGTATAATGCAGACTTTCATATAGAAATTTACAGCTATGTTGACTCCCGAGCCTCATGATCGCTAGACATTCTACCACTGAGCTACATCCGCAGCCCAGAAATTTAGTTTTAACGAAGTCAAACGTATTAGTCCTTTCCTAGTACTTCTGTCTTACTTCTTTCTATTACATTTATTTTATTTAAGACAGGGTCTCCTTATAACCCTGGCTGGCCTAGAATTTCACAGTAGACATTCAGTGGTAACGTCCTTCATCCAAAGTACTTTCTTCTTATGGGACAAGCAAGGAAAACACCGAAATTGATCCCACTTCCTACAGTAGTCCTAAAGGTTGAGCTGGCCTCTGCCCTGTCATATTACATTGACTTTTCCAACTTTACCAGTCCCCAGGAACTGCAGGCTATTAAAGGTCAATCTCTTTGACACTGTTTGACAGACATCAAAGAAATGCATCCTGATGAAAGGGGGAATTCCTGGGTGGGTTGCTGGGCCATGAAGAGAAGCTGGCTACCAGGCACGGTGGTGCGGTTTCAGTGAACTTGTCATCATTTTTCTAAACTACATTCCTGGCACTATTAGTGTTTTACCACCGTGCCTGGCAATGCCGTAGAGAACAAAGGGCAAAGAAAGAAGTGGAAGGAAATGTGTACAAATCCTTATGCCACCATTTTTGACAGGCAGCAGGGAAACTGGGTAACTTTTCCCGTGTAACAAGTGGTGAAAAGGGTTCAAACTGTCCCAATGCCTCCTGGGCCACAGAGCCTATATTTAAAATTTTGTGAACTATGTGGATCTGTGCTTCCCTACCCGAAAACATGCCAGTTAAGACCGAAACCAAGAGTTTGAGAAACTTGGCGGATTCAGAACGCACCTTCAGCCCTGCACAGCAGTTCTGCTCACCTAGCAACCGTGTCGCCCATTCTTCGCTCCATTAGATGGAGGCGGGCCTGAGGTACAGTGCTCAAGGCCCAGCGTCTAGAACTCGCCCACGCGAGCCTGGGTTCTCTGCGGTGCGCACGCGCGAGGAGGAGCCTCCCTACCTGCCCCCATTTCCCCAATCCCCCCCCCACCTCCCCCGCGCTCACTCACGGGGGCGGGGCGTAGGCATGCCCAGTGGCTGGGCCCACGCATGGAGGGCGGAGCTGACGCACTGGGGCGGGGCTCCGGCGTACCGGAGGGCGGGGCTCACGCACAGAGACACGATTCACGCACAGGGGCGCGGCGCAGGCGTGCCCTGTGGCTGGGTCCACAGAGGAGGGCGGGGCTCACGCACGGGAGCCGAGGGCGGGTCCCACGCGTGGGGGCGGGGCGCGCGCACGCCCAGAGGCTGAGGAGCCGGAAACGCGGCGGAGAGGGTGCGGCCCTCAGGAGGCGGTGGGCCAGGCCGCCGGACCCGGCGGGATGGGGCGGGGCGCGAAACGTTAGGGGAACTGCGCGCGAGGCGCGGGGTCCCGGACGGGCAAGGCCCCAAGCCCGAGCTTCGGACGGATGAAGAGCAAAGCAGCGGGGCCGGCGCTCCCCAGCGCGGTCCTCAGGTGGGAGGCACGACCGGGCGGGCGAGGGCGGCCTGGGACCCGGCCCACGGGAGGAGGCGCGCGAACGGGCCGCTCTGGTGACCGCTTCTCGCCATCCAGGTTGGCCAGCCCGGCTGCCAGCGCTTCCCGAGGATCAGCCCCGGGCGACCCCGGCATGCCCAGCCCGCAGCGGCGAACGCGGCCGCAGGCGATCGGAGGAGCTGCGCGGCCCGGGCGGCGCTAGGAGGAGCGGCTGCGCTGGTGAGCGACATGCGGTAGCACGTGACGCCGGACGCCCAGCCCTGCGGCCCGGGCCCCGGAGCGCTCTTCTCCTACGCTGGCCCTAGCAGGCGGCACAGGTGAGGACGGAGGAGGAAGACCCCACAGCTCCGCGCCCAGCAGACGCCTTTGTTTGGGTGCCGCTCGGGAGGGTCACAAGTGGTCTGTACCGGGATTCGAGTCCCCCCAGGGAACCATCCAATCCCGAAAACTAGCTGTTAGCTTGGAAGGAGGGTCGTTTGGCCGTTTATGCCGAGTGTGAATAGCTGTTCCGAGCATCACATTCGTTGTTAGCTGGTTGACACCTTTTCCGGTCCTTAGAGTTGAGCGTTTAGTACTTTAATCTGAACCGTGTATTTTTGTGTCATCGTCGCCTTTAGTCGGCGGGATGGTGGAGTGCGGAGACCCCGTCACTTCTGCAAGCTTGGGCTGGTCGTTAAGGTGCTGTTCCTACACAGTACAGAAGCAGACCAAAGACAGGGTGTATTTCGCTGTTGTTTTCCCAGAATCCTTTCAAAGACTGTATGTTGAAAATAAGGAAGATAAGTGATTGAAGCTGCCCGTTCCATTCTGCAAAGTGGCCATATTTCAGCTAGCTTCTTACGGACCATTACAAGAAAACTAGCAAATGCTTATGAAGGTCGGTTAGAAGTCCCAGAGCTTGATGTCATGACTTTAGACGACTCAAGTGGACTTTAGAATGAGAAAATCCTCTGAGAGTCACAGTGCTTGTCTGCCGAGTACTAGTTACCTTTGGTTTATGGCTGCTGACGTCATCACATAGCTGACTCACAACAAAGCAGAAATCTGCTGAGCCCGTGGCATTAAAGCCTAGTTTGAACTGATTTGTGAAGGCCCAGGATTTACACTGATTTTGATTATGACATCAGGTATATATTTGAATGTTCAGGAACTTTCAGAACAGGAGTTGAAGTTACAAACCTTTAGCTCTGCTCTAAAAAATTATTGTAACTAGTACGTTGTAGGCTTTTTGGGTTCCAGTGATTGTTGTGTTTTGGTCATGGTTGTAGCTGTGAAAAGTTAGAGAAGTCTCTTTTAAATCAGCTGAAGCCCATAAACTTTCAAAATTAAAGTAGCTATGGTTTCTTTACGCCACATGGAATTGTACATTCTTTTGTGGAGTAATAAAAATCTTGTGTTAATGTGTTGTTCTTCAGATATCGTATGCCACGAGGCTCTAGCTGTCCTGTGAGTGATGAGGTGGCATTGCTTCGCCAGTTTTGCCTGCCTGTTCGCTACAAGATGCTCTACTAGGCTGGCGTCATGCACTTAGTTGCTGTCTAAGAGCTAATTTTATGAGATATGGATATAGAATAATTCAAAAAAGAGGCCTGTGTGAGACTTTATACCCCACAGTTTAGCCAGGTCCTATTGTAAATAAAACTGTGTAAAAGGCAAAACAGTTTTATTTCATGTGTAATTAGTTAACTGTAGTTAAGAAGTCTGGGGCTTAAATTAGACCTGAGTTCAAAACTCAACTGTACTGACTAGTTGTGTGATTTTTTTTTTTTTTTTTTAACTTTCTCAAAAGTCTTGGTTTCTGTATCTTTCAAGTAGGATTAAGATAAACATGCCAGGGGCTAGGGAGATGGCTCAGAGAGCAAAAGCACTGGTCTCACAACCCAAGTTTGGTCCCTGGAACCACACAGAAAGCTGGATGGGACATGGGAACATCTGTGGTACGAAACAGATAAATGTTGAAATCATAAATAAATGCTGGCACTCAGCTGACTTACTCGTATTTTTCAGTCTAGGACCGCACCCCATTGAGTGTGGGTGCTTCCCACATTCAGGGTGCATCTTTCCTCTTCAGTTAAACCTTTGTGAAAACATCCCCATAGACACACACTGTGTGTGTCTGTAGTGATTCTAAATCCATTCAGGGTTACAATGAAAATGTAGCATCATACAAACTCACAGTTTGAGGATTTAGGAGATAAAAGTAAATCACTTAGCCCAGTGTTGTTAGGTACCCTAGGCTCACCAAAAAGAATGCATTACTGTGCCCTCCCATCCTTATGCTGTGCTCATTGTAAGAATGGAAGGTCATTAGAGACCTCTGAGTAGCCTGCTAGTTAGCTTCTATAATTGACAATATGATGGGCTCTAAGTCTGATTAGAAACTAGTTTTTATTTATTTTTTTTTCTTTAGAGGCAAGCTATGTAGTCCAGACTGGTCTTGAACTCACTGTGTAGCCCAGGCTAACCTTGGAACTTGTGACAGTCCTCCTACCTCCAAAGGTGTGTGCTACCATGCCTGGTAAAACTAATATTTTTTGATAACCGCCAATAGTTGCTTGTTCATGTCAGTATTAATCTTACTTTTAAGATGTTTTTAGTGGCACAGCAAGATGGATCGTGTAGAAAAACTGAGTCCTTGGTTCTTCAGCCTGTTAGAAATGGTCTGTGTATTAAAAAGTTATAAGTTCTAGAACATTTCTGGCAGTCCTTTTCAGGATGGCTTAATGCTCATTCATTGAACTGCTCTGACTGGGGCATAGGGTGTCTCCTCTTTGTGCCTTGATTCCCTCATCTACCTTACTATGCAGAATCAGTGTGAGAATATTAAAACTATTGTTTAATAATGTGCTGATACAGATTTTCAGAAAATACTGCTTAGGGTAGTCATGGTGCTTTTTCATACCACTGATAAATCTGAGTCAGACCCAGGATCACTTTTCACTTCCTGTATAAAGGATTAGTAAAAATATTTTGAGTACTTAAAAATAAACTGCCTAAACAACTAGTGGTTTGAGATAATAAGCCAATTGGAAACAATGGCTGCTGTGACAGAAGTTGGGTAATAATTTTTTTTAAAAAGCCACCATGGCCAGTACGCTGGTTGTAGACTTACCTTTGGAACAGGCCAGACTCAAATCCTTTTGTGGTATATGACATTGGCATGAATTAGATACTCTCTGAATACCAGTTCCTTCTTGTCTCAGAGTTGTGAACATAAAAATGACCCAAGTTGGTTAGGTCCCATTTCCTTATTCCCAGATTCTTGTCTCTTTTAACTCATAGTTACTGTGGTTTTTGTAAACTGATTGTGTGTACTCTTTCCTAGGATGAATGACATGAATTTGAGCCCAGTGGGGATGGAGCAGCTGACTTCATCCTCTGTGAGCAATGCTCTGCCAGTCTCAGGAAGTCACCTGGGGTTGGCTGCCTCTCCCACTCACAGTGCCATCCCTGCCCCAGGTGAGTGGGGAGGGAGAGCCACTGCATTTCAGCTTTCATTGAGTTCAGTTCTGAATGGACCCTAGAATGGTTTTGGGGGTGAAGAGAGGAACTAGGCCTGAGTGGCCTCCATAAAGTGTTTCCATTGAGTTGCCAGGGTTCTAGCAGATGGGAGTAGCAGTGTTTTCTGGTAATCTCTTTGGTGTTAGTAGCCTTTTGTCCAGAGCTGAAATTGACTAGGCATTTTGTCAGGGGCTTCTCACACTCATGGTTCACACCTTAGCATCATGTCCCTTGTTCATAGAAGAGGATTAGTTAAATTCATTCTGTAAGTCCACCAAAACATTGGGAATTGGGCTTTCTTTCTTTCTTTCTTTTTTTTTTTTGGTCTTTTTGAGACAGGGTTTCCCTGTAGCCCCAGCTGTCCTGGAACTCACTATGTAGACCAGGCTGGCCTTGAACTCACAGAGATCTGCCTGCCTCTGCCCCCTAAGTGCTGGGACTAAAGGCATGCGCCACTGCGCCCAGCTCTGGGCTTGCTTTCTTTGAGACTGGAAACTGAACATCTGTAGGAATGTACCAAACCTGAAATTATGGGAAAGTGGGAGAGATTTGGAGCTCCTACTGAACATCCCTACAGTTGTTCAGTGGAACGTCCTGTGAGCGCATCCTCAGAGGGAAACACAGGAAGGGAAGGTTCATTCTTCCTTCCCTATCCAATGCCTTGATACCCTACTGCTTACTGTTTTGTTTTGTGTGACAAGGTCTCATGTAGCTCAGGTTGGTCTCAATGTTGATATATAGCCAGAGTGACCTTGGATTCCTGATCTTCCTGCTTCCACCTCCCAAGTGCTGGTATCACAGATGTGCACCATCATACCTGGCTCTAAAAATCCTTTTACTGTCTAGTTTTGTGTACTTATTGAAATGAAAAATAGTAAGCTATTGATTCTTAAGGATTTGTAGCATTGTAATGCTGTATTGGACTTTATCATAATTATAGTTAATGTTTTGGAGTACTTTTAAATAAATGTATAAAAAGATGTTTAAATAGCTCTGTAGAGAATTCACCTCCTGAATTTGTAAAATGAAGCAGCTGAGTCAGATTCATTGAAATCAACATCTCTTTGCTTTCTTTTAAGAGGCCACGAAAGAAATTTTAAAGAGCTAGGCTAATCCTCGCCTGTAATACCAGTACTTGAGAGATGTAGGCAGGAAGATCAGGAGTTCAAGGCCAGCCTGAGCTACATAAGGCCCTGTCTTAAACTAGTTGTAAGCCATGTGTGATGGTGGAAGCCTTTGATCCCAGCACTCAGGAGGCAGAGGCAGGCCAGCTGGGGCTATAGGGAGACCCTGTCTCAAAAAGACAAGAAAAACCCCCCAAAACCAAAAAAAAAACCAATTAGTTGTTAATCTACCTGCTTATGTGTTAGTCATCCTTTTTTTTTTTTTTTTTTTTTTTTTTTTTTTGTGGGGAGGGTGTCTTTTTGAGACAGGGTCTCCCTGTAGCCCCAGCTGGCCTGGAACTCACTATGTAGACCAGGCTGGCCTTGAACAGAGATCCACCTGACTCTGCCTCCCAAGTGCTTGGGATTAAAGGTGTGCACCACCACGCCCAGCCTTAGTCATCTTTTTAAGGGACGCTTGTATTAAGAAGAAAAAGCTTATTAGAAAATATTACCCCTAGGGCTAGAGAGATGACTCAGCAGTTAAGAGCACTGGCTGCTCTTGCAGAGGACTTGCATTCGATTCTCAGCATCCACACAGCAGCTAGCAACTGTCTATAACCCTAGTTCCAGAGGATCTGACACTCTACTGGCCTGTGCGAGTATACTTACATACATGTAGGAAAACATTCATACATGTAAAACAGAAAGAAAGAAAGAAAATATTACCCCTGGCAAAAATATGCATATCAGCACTACCCAAGTTGGTGGATATTTGTTATAATACTTAATCACAGTAAAGAGTCATTTAAACGTTTTGCAAACAAATCCAAGGTGCATGTAATCTAAGACTTAGACTTCCTAATTATGAAGTACAGTGTATATACCAGAGGACTAAGGGTACACATACAGGTTTACATCTAAATACACACATACACAGAGGACTGAGGGTGCATGTACAGGTTTACATCTAAACACACACACAGAGGACTGGGGGTGCATGTACAGATTTACATCTAAATACACACATACACAGAGGACTGGGGGTGCATGTACAGGTTTACATCTAAATACACACATACACAGAGGACTAGGGGGTGCATGTACAGGTTTACATCTAAACACACAGGACTGGGGGTACATGTACAGGTTTACATCTAAACATACACACAGAGGACTGGGGGTGCATGTACAGGTTTACACCTAAACACACACAGAGGACTGGGGGGTGCACGTACAGATTTACATCTAAATACACACATACACAGGACTGAGGGTGCGTGTACAGATTTACATCTAAATACACAGAGGACTGGGGGTGCATGTACAGATTTACATCTAAATACACACATAAACAGAGGACTGGGGATGCATGTACAGATTTACATCTAAATACACACATACACAGGACTGAGGGTGCGTGTACAGGTTTATATCTAAATACATACACAGAGGACTGGGGGTGCATGTACAGGTTTATATCTAAATACACACATACACAGAGGACTGGGGGTGCATGTACAGGTTTACATCTAAACACACACATACACAGGACTGGGGGTACACGTTCAGGTTTGCATCTAAATACACGCATACACAGAGGACTTAGGGTGCATATGCAGATTTACATCTAAATACATACATACACAGAGGACTGAGGGTGCACATACAGATTACTGCTAACTTAAAATTCAGAAATGTTTGAATGTTTAGGTACACACACATCTACGTATGCATGTTTATTTTAGACAGTCACTGTGTAATCTGTCCTCAAATTCACAGTCCTGCCTCAGCCTCCACAGTGCTGGGATTACAGTAATAGACTGCCATGCCTAGCATCTGAGGGTTTTTAAGTAAGTCTTTCCCTGTCAGAGACCACTCGTGTGAACAGTTGCTTTCCATTTTTTAAAAAAAATATAATTTGTTCTCTTAGCTGTTTTTAAAACTAGATTGTTAATTATTTTTGATATTTAGAATAAATCCAACTGGAGGATCAGGTTACTTGGCACTTCTAAAACATTTTTTAAAGTTTTTGTGTATGAGTGTGTTGCCTACGTGTGTGTAAGTGCACCTGTGTTGTGCATTGCCCATGAAGGTCAGAGGGTGTTGGATCCCCTGGAACTAGAGTTCCGGTTGTCAGCCGCCATGTGGGTGCTGGGAATGGAACCCCCATCCTCTGCAAGAGCAGCCAGTGCTCTTAACCACTGAGCCATCTCCAACCCTGTTACTTAGCACTTTAAAACTAACTTGATATGCACCAGTCATGTGTACATACACACACACACACACACTAACTTGAGAGCCAGGGTGGTCACCCATATCTGTAAACCTAACATTCTAGAGCCTGAGGAAGAGATTGTAAGTCCCAGGCCAGCCTGGGCTGTATAGGCAAACCATTTCAGAATGAATTTGGGAGCTAGGCTATTTGCTTATGTTGTAGATGTTGCACAACAGTGGCTTGGGAAATGATGGGTTACTAAGGTGAAGTTTTTATCTGTCTAAACTCTAGGAATTTAGCCAGTGGTTTTAAAATACTGATCTTTTAATTAAGAAAAAAATGTGTTTTCAAGGTCTCCCAGTGGCAATTCCAAACCTGGGTCCCTCCCTGAGCTCTCTGCCTTCTGCCTTGTCTCTGATGCTCCCCATGGGCATTGGCGATCGAGGGGTGATGTGTGGGTTACCTGAAAGAAACTACACCCTACCTCCACCACCGTACCCTCACCTGGAGAGCAGTTACTTCAGAACCATTCTACCTGGTAAGTATTATAGTTACTCACTGGGGGAAAATAGAGCCAACTTTAACCTCAGTTTTTGGAAATTTGGATACATCCTTTTTTCTTTGTTATTACTGGATAGGAATATTTAAGTTTGTTAATATTTATATACTTTACTTAGAACGTGTATGCATATAGCACATTATTGTGGCAGTTTGATTAAGGTAATTTTGTTAATTGTACAGAAACAAGTTTTTGTCCTTTCTTGTTGGCTCAGTCTTTTTTTTTTTTAATTTTTTTGGAGTGGTAGCAATTGAACCTAGAACCTCATGCATGCAGGAAAGGTACTTTACCACTGAGCTACAGCCTCACCGCTCTCTTTATTGGTATGTTGCTGGTATAATCTTGAACTCCTGATCCTCTGCCTCCACCTCCAATGTGCTAGATTACAGGCTGTTATCAGTTTGTTCTTGGTTTGGTTGGCGCTCTCCTCTCTCTCTCTCTCTCTCTCTCTCTCTCTCTCTCTCTCTCTCTCTCTCTCTCTCTCTCTCTCTCTCTCTCTCTCTCTCTCTCTCTCTCTCTCTCTCTCTCTCTCTCTCTCTCTCTCTCTCTCTCTCTCCTCTCTCTCTCTCTGTGTGTGTGTGTGTGTGTGTGTTAGAGACTTTTGTAGTCCCTGGAACCCGCTATATGGACAAGGCTGGCCTTTTGTCTCTGCCTCCCCAGTGCTAGGATTGCAAGAGTGCTCCAACATGCCTGGTTTATCTTCTAGTATTTTTCTTCTTTGCATGTATGTGTGTGTGGTGTGCATGCATGTGTGTGTGCATGTCTGCTTGTATGTGGGTGCATTGGATGCAAATGTACATGGGTGCATGTGCCTGTGGTGACCAGAGGTCAGTTGTCTTTCTCAGATGCTCTCTACCTTATAGATTGAGTCAGGGTCTCTCACTGAAGGAGGAGCTTGCTGATTCAGCTAGCCTGGCCAGCTTGCCTCAGGGATCCTTTGTTTCTGCCTCCTGTGCTGGGATGTAGGCAGGCCACTAATGGCCTCCTGGCATTTACGTGGGTGCCAGGAATCTGAACTCAGGTCCCTATACTTGCATAACAAGGGCTTTACCTGCTGAGCCATCTCCTCAGCCCCATATGGTAGAGTTTCAAATTCATCTTTTTAAAGTCCCTACTAGTTTTTGTCAGGGTCTGGCATTGATTAAGCAAGTGTAGAAAATAGTTTACTTTAGAGTTTTTCTTTGCCCTTGTACTGTCCTTTTTGTTAATCTGGTACATTTTTCTCAAGCTGAATTACGCTAAGCACTGAATATTGGTTCAGTGTTGTTAATTCTGTAGTTTACCAACTCTGTGTCCTGATGTGCATCAATATTTATAAAAAATTACTGACTTGTTCTGTTTGAAAAAATATATACCCTTTTCAGAAAATATAGCAAATAGGGAGAAAGGGGACCACTGGGTCCCTTCAGCCACCTTCTTGTGTACTTCCTAGCCTTTATTTTGGAGCATTGCTTAGAACTGTTTTTCATAACTAAACCATACTCTCTTTACAATTGTGTGTCTTTCTTTTTTCACTTAGTATCTTCCCCTGATACGACATGGTTTCCATAACTTTTCTTTTTAATGGTATACCCTTGTAAATCCAATTGCTTAGGAAGTATATATTTACAAAAATATACTTCAAGAAGATTGCTATAGGTAGAATTAGTTTTGCACAAGACAGATCATTTCTTCTGAGGTTCATAGATACACTGTGCCAAGATGTTTCAGTGTTTACATTCCTACTAGCAGGCCATCCCACTGTATCCTTAGAAGCACAAGCATTTGGGTTTAGGCTGTAGTTAACAATAAAACTTTTTTTAAAAAATTTTTAATTTTATTTATTATTTTTATTTTTTATGTGTCTGAGTATATTACCCTCATGTGTGAAAGTGCACCCGTGTTGTGCACTGCCTATGGAGGTTATGAGGGCGTTGAATCCCCTGGAACTAGATTACTGACAGTTGTTAGCTGCCATGTGAGTGCTGGGAATCAGACGTGGGTCCTCTGCAAGAAAAGCCCGTGCTCTTACCTCTGAGCCAACTCTCCAGCCCAGAACTCTTGATGAGTATTTTTTTTCCCCCAAAATGGTGGGGGAGAAAAGTTTCAGTAAAATAGGAAGATTTTGCTTATTTTGAATAGAGGTTAACATGTTTTGATAGCTTAAAAGTTAAATCTTAACAGAAGTTCTGCTTTTAGATCATTTTATTTATTTATTTTTTTTTTTGTAGCAAAATTTTAGCATCTTAGGACTCAAAACAACCTTGTAAATATTAGAGGTTGCATTTAAGTTATTTATTTTTAATTAGTTTTGTAAGAAGTTAGCTTCATGTGTTTAAGATTTGGTTTTCACAAGGAACACTCATTATGTATATGTATGTTACTATTTACAAAGTTAGACATTGTTTAAATTGAAGCAATTGATTATTTCAACTATGTTTGTAAGGAAAATAATGTGTACCAGTTGGGTTTTTTTTTTTTTTTTTTTTAATTTTTAACAATGTGCTAAATACCTCTACTGTCTCTTCTTTTTCACAGGCATTTTATCTTATTTAGCTGACAGACCACCTCCTCAGTACATCCACCCCAACTCTCTAAATGTTGATGGTAATACAGCATTATCTATCACCAACAATCCTTCAGCGCTAGATCCCTATCAGTCCAATGGAAATGTTGGATTAGAACTAGGCATTGTTTCAATAGACTCTCGTTCTGTGAACACACATGGTGCCCAAAGTCTTCATCCTAATGATGGCCATGAAGTGGCATTGGACACAACAATTACTATGGAGAATGTTTCTAGGGTTACTAGCCCAATCTCTACAGATGGAATGGCAGAGGAGCTTACGATGGATGGTGTTGCAGGTGAACATTCCCAAATCCCAAATGGCTCCAGAAGTCATGAACCTCTCTCTGTGGATTCCGTGAGCAACAACCTTACAGCAGACACTGTGGGACATGGTGGTGTGATACCCATTCATGGGAATGGTCTGGAGCTTCCTGTGGTTATGGAGACAGACCACATTGCAAATCGGGTCAACGGGATGTCTGACAGTGCCCTCAGTGACTCCATCCACACCGTGGCCATGAGCACCAACTCTGTAAGCGTGGCACTCTCTACCTCACACAACCTCGCCTCCCTAGAGTCTGTTTCCCTCCATGAAGTTGGCCTCAGCCTAGAACCTGTGGCTGTCTCCTCCATCACCCAGGAGGTTGCTATGGGGACAGGTCATGTAGATGTATCTTCAGACAGTCTGTCTTTTGTACCACCTTCACTGCATATGGAAGACTCCAATTCAAACAAGGAAAACATGGCAACCTTGTTTACAATTTGTGAGTGTGCTCAGCCTTTCTCTCAGAAATACTGGTTTTAAAAGGCCATTGTCCCTACTAGTTTTTGTCAGAATCTGACATTGAGTATAGAAAATAGTTTAATTTTGGAATTTTCTTTGCCCTTGTACTGTCCTTTTATTAATCTGGTGCTTTTTCCTCAAGCTGAGTAATATATGCAAATTTGTTGGCTCCTACAGCCTCTCCTGAAGAGAGGAAACGTAAGGGAATCATGTCTATGTTTTACAAATTAAATTTAGCCTAAAAGTGTTCAAGGTATTTCCCAAGGCTTCCAGAATAGAGCACTAGAGGAGTAAAACCAGATACAACTAATCTTGGTGACATGGAGTTGTGATCTTTCAGCAAAGACCAAAAGAAAAAGGTGGCTAGATCACTTTTACGAATATGGGAAGATGTGGGTTGATGTAGATGCAATGATTTTCCTCAGAGTGTGTATAAATTACCAGAGTTGGGCATGTAAAACTTCTTTTTATTGAGCAACAACAAAACCATATTAAAATGGTTGTTTGTTGGTAACACTGTATACTTTATTCATGCAGGAAATGTCAGATGCTGGGGACAGAACAGTCTGCTGTGACAATACATACCTTAAGGAGCCCGTAGCCAGGAATCACAGACATGCACAGGCTATTGTAGACAGAGTAGAAGAAAAAGTGTGAGGATGAGCTGAAGCTCATAGTGCTTAAGTAGTCTGAAGACCAGCTAACTGGCTGTGGGAGGTCAGGGTGGATGAACCATAGAAGGCAGCAGCATGCATGACGGCACAGACCGTAAGGAGAGGAGAGATGCGGCAGTTGACAGATGAGAGATGGCACCCATAAGTGCCTAGAACTAAAAGAATCATGAAAGGCTCAGGATTTCTGGAAAATAAAATGGGGTGAGGGAAAGGGCTGACCTGGGGAGACAGGTAGGAGCAGAGCACACAGGGCTTTCTAAAACCAGTTGGGCTTTAGGAGTAAGGATTGGCATGGGCCTCTGCTGCAGTGTGAGGTGTTCTGTTAAGAGGCAAGTGCGTTAGGAAGATGATGGGAGAGTTAAGCAAAGGTGATGTGTTCCTGACTTAGAGTAGGGCCTTCATGGAGAAGTCAGTAGAGCTTGTAGGATAAGGTGTACTAAGGAGAATACTAGTTCCCTGCACCAGAAACTAGATTAACATACGCTGAAAGGTGGAAGAGATTCAGTTATTCTTTTGGAGTGATGGTGAGTTCATTTTAGACTTTGATTTAGTGTGAAAGATGCTCAGTAGACATGGCTAATGGAAAGTTGAGTCAGCTCAGGGGAGGATGACATGAAGGTAGTAATTGTGGCCACGGCAGTGGGATGAACTCATCTAGTAAAAGTGTGGAATGACAAGTTTGGGAAGGGGTCAAGAAGTACTAGCAACTGAGTAACTTCCAAAGAGAGTGAAGGGGAGGGAGCCCAGGGTGGGTGGAGCAGTGCTGTGGAAGCCAGTCATTGAGTAGCCCTCCGTATTAGCCTTCAAAGTCAAAGATTTATAATGTTTAAGTGCAATTAATAAAAGGCTTATAGGAGAGATGTAACGTGTACAATTTAAAATGTACAATTTCGTGGTGTTTAGTATGTCCAAAAGTTGTGTGACAATCACTAGCATCTAATTGTAAAATGTTTTAATCACCACATAAAGAAACCTCATTTTGAGGACTGGAGAGATGGCTGAGCGGTTTTTCTTAGCAGTTAAGAGCACTGACTGCTCTTGCAGAGGACCCAGGCTCAGTTTTCAGCACCTACACGGCAGCTAACAACTAGCTGTAACCCCAGTTCAGGAGATTGGATGCCTTCCTGGCCTCCATGGGCATTGCACACATGTGGTGCTCTTAACATGCAGGCAAAACACTCAGACACATAAAGTTAAAACGAAACCGTATATCCATCAGTAGCCAATTCTCATTTCTTATTTCTCCTCCATTCTCAAGCAGTCAATCAACTTTCTGTCTCTAGATTTTCCTGTTCTGGACATTCTGTATAGGTGGAGTTGTATGATCTGGCTTTTCTTCCTTGGCATAACATGGCTCATTCATGGCTCATTCATGAGACTGTCATGTCTCAGTACTTCATTCCATTTTACAGCTGAATAATAGTCCATATTGCAAGTATACATTTTGTTTATCTGTTTATCAGTTGATGTATATTTTGGTTGTTTTTACTTTTTGGTGATTTTTGAATAAGGTTCATGTACAGAGTTTTGTGTGAACAAATTTCTAAATTCTTCTGGATATATGTGTAGGAGTGAAGTTGGTGTTTAACTTTTTTTGGGGGGGTGGGGTTTGAGACATGGTCTCCCTGTAGCCCCAGCTGTCCTGGAACTCACTATGTAGACCAGGGTGGCCTTGAACTCACAGAGATCCTCCTGCCTCTGCCTCCCAAGTGCTGGGATTAAAGGTGTGCACCACCACGCCTGGCAGGTGTTTAACTTTTAAAAAATTGATATTAATTAATACATAGTAATGGTACATATGTAAAGGGTTTGGTGTGTATTTTTAACTTTGAGGGGAAATGCCAGACTTTTCCAAAGAGTTGGTGTCATTTTCTATCCTTAGCAGTACTACTGAGCGTTCTGGTCTCTCCACATTCTTGCCAATGCTTCATTTCTTTTTTACTTTTGTAGCCATCACAGTGGGTGTGAAGTGATATCTCATCACTTCATATGGTTTTCATATTCATTTCCTTACGGACTAATTATGTTAAATATCTCCTCTGAACTTGGCTGATTGTATATCTAAATTTAGCGTTTTTTGCAAATATGAACATGGAATGTTCTTCGTTTGGAGGTGATTCTGGACCTTGAGACCATTGGTGAATCAGTTCTCATTGGGTATAAGGATCTCTATTCTGATAGCTCAGAGAATCTTTATCAAGTGGTAATTTAAGTAGTAATACACTATTTTGCCTAAATACGAAACCATATTGACATTTTGTACAACTTAAGTACAAATTTCAAGTGGAAAGTTAACTGGTTAGGAGAAGACACTTGGATGACTGTGGTTCTAAGGTTCATTTATGTATTTCAATTGTTTTGTGAACAAATTTGCAAAGTTTGAATTCAACCATTGAATAACTCATGAATACCATTTTTAGCAGAAAGGAGTATAAAGAGCAGCACAGGAAAATTTGAGAGAAGACCAAGCTTGTAAACATGAAGTTGTAGTAAGAACAGAGGACAGCATGTGGCGGTAACTTCTCTGATAACGTGACAGGAAGGACTACTAGCAAAGCAGTCAAGCTTGCAGGGCAAGCCTGCCCTGGGGAGGCAAAGGGAGGCAGAAGGTCTCAGTTCAAGGTCAACCTGGGCTACTTGATGAGACCCTTTCTCCAAAAATAAAACAAAATTTCAAATATTCTCTCTGCTCTCCAAAAGAGAGGTTGTAAACCCCCACTCCCAGGAGAGGGATTTTTCAAAACGAGGTGACCAGTTTATACTGAAACTGAAAGAGCTTGGTGATGCAGCTGTCTCAGGCTCTGCTGGCCTAGTGTCACCTGTATTCCCCATACAGCATTTCAACTTAGGTTCCTCTTACAGTTCAGAATTGCAGTTTAGGGTACCATATATAAAAGTATGGCTTGCTTACTCTAAGGAATAATGTACTTGACTGCTGCAGTAATGACTTGTATTTATTTTTTTAGTGCAGGGCTCAAACACGAGGGCAGGTGTTAGGTGAGTTCTCTACCACCTAACTACACTTGGATCTGTCATGTTTTTTGTTTTTTTGTTTTTTGGGGGTTCTTTTTTGAGACGGTCTCCCTGTAGCTCCCTCTGGCCTAGAACTTGCTATGTAGCTCAGGCTAGCCCTGATCTCACAGAAATCCACCTGCCTTTACCGCTCAAGTGCTGGCATTAAAGGCATTTCACTACCACACCGGGCTTCTTGTTATTTTTTTGATCATTCACCGAATAGGAAAATTGTAGTGTTGACTTTGGGCCTCCACATACAAGTAAACACACATGTACCCACATGTGCACATACATGCACACTCACATAAGAATGCACACACACGCACATTTCATACACATATACCCAAAAAGGAAAGGAGAGAGAAGAAAATCCGATCTCACTGAACTTTATTGTGAGGAAGTGATTGTTTGATCAGAGTATTCCTTCATATTGGCTGCATTTAGTAATTCGCATTTAATACCAAGTGGCATCTTAGCCTATGTGAACTGCACTCATCTGTGTCTCTCATATGTGCTGCTGCCAGGGTGTACTCTTTGTGACCGAGCCTACCCCTCAGACTGCCCTGATCATGGACCAGTGACTTTTGTTCCTGACTCGCCAATAGAGAGCAGAGCAAGACTGTCCCTCCCAAAGCAGCTTGTTCTCCGCCAGTCCATTGTGGGAGCAGAAGTTGGTAAGGATATTGGAAGAAAGCATAAAACCCCTTCAAGTCTTCTTTATAGGGTAGGCTTGTAAAAGTTTATGTGTATAATTTAGTGATTATTTAGTTGACCCAGAAGTTAGTTTACATCTTATTGTACTGTTAAGGAATTCATACTGATGAGAACAATAAATTAGGTTGGAAACTTCAGTGTGAAACCTGAGAACAGAATTGAATGGAGGCATGAATCCTCCCCTGAGTCTTTGAAGACTTATTTTTATTCTCATCTGTCTCATCCACCAACAATTATCCTAACAACATACTCCTTGAAACTTTTTTTTCCCTATTAAAACAGAAAATTCACCTCTTGATGATTGTGTGGCATGGATTAAAAACATACTAATTGTATAAGACTCCTTATGAATAAGGATAGGGTTGACAGGGCATTTCTGCTGTCTAATGTGGTGTATCCATATCTCAACATGACTTCCAAAATGCTGTGCCATTTTTTGAAAATATGTAATTAGGTTCATTCTTCCAACTACAGCTTGGGCATGAATCTTGAAAGCACTAAATAAGCTTAGATAATATCAGTGCTTTAAGCACAAAAGATTTTGGAAGTTTGCTTTATTTTGTATAAATTAGATTTTTTGGTAGAAAAACACTTTCTATTTTTTGCTTATTAACTCCAATATAATGTATTTGGAGAGACATAGGTTCTTTATGCATACAACTAAGCTTAGGAATTAAAAAAATTTTAATGTGTGTGTCTGTGCGTATGTGCCTGTGAGTACACGTGCCTGCAGAAGGCAGAGGTATAGGATCCCTCGGGAGCTTGCAGGCCACCCAACGTGTTTGCTGGGAATTGAACTTGGTCCTCTGGAAAAGCTTATGTTCCATCTCTCCAGCCCGAAGTTCAGAAATTTTGATATTGCTTCTTTGCGTTTCTTCTGAGCTTCATTGAATGTGTGTGTGTGTGTGTGTGTGTGTGTGTGTGTGTGTGTGTGTGTATGCATGTGTACTCATGCTACGGCTTGCATGTGGAGGTTAAAGGACAACTTTTGGGAGTGGGTTCAGGGGATCAGGTCATCAGGTTTGCATGGCAAGTGCTCTTTCCCACTGAACCATCTTGTTGGCCATGTTTTATATATTTTCATACCAAGACCTAAAGTCTCAGCCATCTCAGGATTCTTGATATCAGATTGTTGTTAAGTTTACTGAAAATGAGATTATTTGTATCGGTTAAGCTGCCATCTCAGCACCCTCACTGATTGTGTAGTTGGTGTCCCTCCACTGATAGGTGTATGGACTGCAGAAACCATTCCTGTGCGGACTTGCTTTGGGCCCCTGATTGGCCAGCAGAGCCACTCCATGGAAGTAGCAGAGTGGACAGACAAGGCGGTAAACCATGTCTGGAAGGTCAGTGTGGATAGAATGTTCCTAGCTTTTGGCTGCTGTTGTTGCATATCCATGGCTGACTTCAGGCTCACAGTCCTCCTTTCTGGTCTCCTAAATGTTGGGATTGCAGGTGTGCTACCACCGTGCTTGCCATTTCATTATGATGTGGTAATTTAAAAGTGATGAAATCAGAATTAGCCCAGAACTGATAGAGTGTGTTCACCTGTCAGTCATTTGTTTATATTATATTCTCTTATTCCTGGTATGAGAGTTTTATAGCAAAGTACCAGCTATTGATACAGTCTCCATTATTTTATGGATTACTGCAGTGATTTTAATTATTTCATGCATTTTAATTACTTGTGACTGATGAAGCTATGGGCTTTGTTCATATAATAAAAGTTCTTTTTAATTGTAACATTCTTCAAATATTTAGCTTGAAAAACATTTCTAGAATTAGAAGCTACAATTATTTCTGTAGTGATCTAATGACAGTGTAAATTTTTTTTCTGGTCTTTTTGAGGCAGGGTCTCCCTGTAGCCCCAGCTGTCCTGGTACTCACTGTGTAGACCAAGGCTGGCCTTGAACTCACAGGGATCTGCCTGCCTCTGCCTCCCAAGTGCTGGGATTAAAGGTGTGTGCCACCATGCCCGGCTGACAGTGTAAATTTTTGACATAAATAGCTATTCCAGTAACATTTTTATGTAGAATCTCAGTGAATCAGAATTGGAATGGGGAGGAAGTGCATCTCAGGAAGGTGAGATGCCGCCGCAGTCCTTAGGTGTGTGAAGTAGAACACAAAAGAACGTTAAGGTCGACTGGGAAAACCACACGGAGGCATGGTGGTGGTCCTCCGCCCTTAGTCAGTCTTTCCTGCTGTGTGATGAAGACAGATGGACAGGAGACTATTCTTTATCCTTTTTAGCCAAAAAGTGAATACCCAACGGCAAAATCATCCTATACACAGCTCCACCAGAGAAGGCCTTTGATGCTCTTCCTTGTATTTCTGGAAATAGGAGAGTGAAGTGATACATGTGGAAAGGTTGTCAGTTCATGTGACATGTGTGCTTGCTTCTGTTGCAGATATACCACAACAGTGTCCTGGAATTTTGCATCATTACAACTGATGAAAATGAATGTAATTGGATGATGTTTGTGCGCAAAGCCAGGTATGAGTAGTCTTGGGTGAAAATAATTGTTACTATTCCAATGTCTTTAATGAGAAACTTGGCATGAAATATGGAAGAGCTGAAGAATCCCAAGTTACCACCACTACCTAGACATATTTAAAGCCTAAGACTTCCCAGCGTCTTTATTCCAGTAGGACTGATGGTGACTATAAATCGAACATGGTAAACTGTCTGATTTTCATCTTCAGTGCAATAACAAATGATACAGCCACCATTGAGTCTGCAAATGGGTGCTACTTCTTTATGTGACATTAGCTTTTAGGCTGTTACTGGAGTTAATTTTTGGTAGGTTCTCTATATTTGTCATAATGAACTTTTTAAAAACAATGTTTTGTGTATGAGTGTTTCTGACATGTATGTAAATGCCCCTGTGTCATGCAAGTCATAGTGGATTTTTAAGACTTCATTTTATAGCTTGGTATGTTGGCTCACACCGGTAATACCAGCACTCCATACTTGTGAGGCCGAAGCAGGAGGATTTCTGCGAGGTTAAGTCTTCCCTGGGCTACATAGTGAGTTCTAGGCCAGCCAGGGCCGCAGATTGAGACCTGTGTTAAACAGAAAGACTTCCTTTATTTACCTTTTTGTTTGAGACAGTATCTCATTCTGTAGATCAGCTTGGCTTGGAACTTGGGTGATCTTCCTGTCTCTGCCTTCTGAGTGTTGTGATGACAAGTATGTACCAAACTGAGAATTCTGTTTCTCTTTAAGTCCCTAATAGGGAGGATAAAGAATTCCAGAAATAGCTCTAAGAGAAAATAGCTCTATCTAAGCTTTCATATTGGATTCTGCTGCAGAGGCATGTTTAGTGTATATTTCAGAATTACTTTGTTCAAGAGGCCGGGGTTATAGCTTAATGATAGAGGGCTTGACTGTGTGCAAGGCCTTAGGTTCAGTCCACTTTAGCCAGGTGTGGTGGAATGCACCTGTAGCTCTAGATGTTTGGAAGGAGGCAGGAGAATTGCTTGGGTCCAGGCTGGGCAACAGAATGAGGCCCTTGCTCTTATGCTTTATTTATTAAATGTGATAACGTAGGAACCGGGAAGAACAGAATTTGGTGGCTTATCCTCATGATGGAAAAATCTATTTCTGCACCTCACAAGACATCCCTCCTGAAAATGAACTGCTTTTCTATTACAGCCGGGATTACGCTCAACAGATTGGTAAGTTTATAAGACTCATTTATCATGAATCTAGTATAGTAACACCAGGACCAAGAAGAAAGTTTGGTAATGATTTTACAGTGGTAGCTGAAGTAAATCACACCTTTATAAAAACAAGCTGCTGCCTCTGTGTGCGAGGCACCAGGAATCTGCAGTTCTACACAAGGTGGATGTAGACCAAGTGAGCTTTGGTTATAGGACTTTGATTTGGGGGCTTTTAAATTTCAAAAGTTACATTTTAAGCTTCTTTTTAAAAATTAAAAAAAAATTTATGTGTATGAGTGTTTTGCCTGAACATATGTAAGTGCACTTGGGAGTATAATGCCCACAGAGGCCAGAAGAGTGTGTCAGATCCCCTGGAATTGGAGTTTACCAATGGTTGTTAGCCGCCGTGTGGGTGCTGGCAACCAAACCCAGGCCCTCTTAAAGAGCAGCCAGTGCTCTTAACCACTAAGTCGTCTCTTCAGCCCTCTTTTTAAGCTTCTTGAAAATCAGTAAAGTCCCTGGTTTTGACGTGGTCCCTGGTGCTTTAGTTTTGTTGTATTGACAAAGGTTTCCCTACGACAAACACCTTAATAATCCAGTGCCTACTGAGTACTTTCTGTGTGCCCTGGTATACTATTTTAGATGACAGGAATGAGCATTGAACAAGACATCTTTAAGTTACAGGTATTAGGTAAGTTAGAAATTTTGTTAGAAGAGAAAATTAAGCAACAGTTTTAAAGTCAAGAATAATTTTGGAATTTAAATAACAAGAGCTACTGACTTAATTTTTTAAAGGTGTTCCTGAACACCCAGACATTCACCTCTGTAACTGTGGCAAGGAGTGCAATTCCTATTCAGAGTTCAAAGCTCACCTGACCAGCCACATCCATAACCATCTCCCTAGTCAAAGCCACAGCAGCAGCCACGGGCCAAGCCACAGCAAAGAAAGAAAGTGGAAGTGTTCGATGTGCCCTCAGGCTTTTATCTCTCCTTCCAAACTCCACGTCCACTTCATGGGCCATATGGGAATGAAGCCTCACAAGTGTGATTTCTGTAGCAAGGCTTTTAGTGATCCAAGCAACCTACGGACACACCTTAAGATACATACAGGTGAGCTGTATTGAACCTTTGGGATGGGATTTTTACAACAGTTAGAAACTGTAGCCATAAAGACTTTGCAGAAAGAAATTATTTGAGGTAGAGTTGTGGTGTGTCATAGAAAGAATCCAGATGGCTGTGGGTGGGATGTCATGGGGTGCTAAGCCCTGGTAAGGGGGAAGACTAATGCTCTGGAGGGTGTTACTCAAGTTAGAAAGGCACTGCACTTTTTAGGTGTCCCCATTGTAGGTGGAAAAATGTAATCAGTAATCCAAAGTTGGTCATTGTGTTTGGACTTAAAGGAAAGGGACTTCCATCAGAGCAGCCTGAGCTTCCTTCTGAGCTCTGCCCTGTCATTAACTGGAGCCAGTTTCTCTGAATAATGCTCAGAGTGCTCAGTAAACAGTGCTGAGTTTTTGTCTGTTTTTATTTTTATTTATGTGTATGTGTGTGTTTCTGTATGCCGCCTAATGTGTATTCCTTCAGGGGTCAGAAGAGGGCATTGCATCCCCTGGCACTAGAGTGGTTGTGAACCATCCAATATGGGTGCTGGAAACTAAACCTGGGTCCTCTGGAAGAACAGCAAGTGCTCTTAGCCACTGAGCCATCTCTCCAGCTCTACAATGCCCAGTTTTGATTTCTAGCTTCCATTTTCTGCACTCCATGCAAACCAGCCACTCTCTTTCAACTCTTGTGGTTTTCATACATACTACACAGCCACCAACGAGGTTTTAACTTCTTGCTTGAATCATTTGGCCTAAAAATTACTAGTTTCTTCCTCAGCCTGTTGTATGAAGACTGGGTAGTTCGAACAGGGACAATGTATACTGCAGAAGCTAAAATACCAACTCTAGCCTTTATAAGATATACCAGTCCCTGACCTAGAAGGATTTTATTTCCTCTCTGGTTTATGAGGTCATATGTTAAAAAAACAAAACACAAAAAAAAACAGAACAGTACAAAATGGGTCATTAAACATTGGTCTGTAGTCCTATAGCTAGAGGCTAGAACTAATGAGTTATTCTCTTTTTCTGAGACAGAGTATCAGCCTAGTAGCCTAGGCTGAATACAAACTCCTTTTGTAGCTGAGGATGACCTTGAACTTCTAATCTTCTTGCCTCTACCTTCCAAATGCTGAGATCTTAGGCATGTACCACCATACTTAGCTATTGTGGTGCTGGAAATGGAATCCAAGGCTTCAGGCATGCTAGGCACACACTGACTGAGCTACATCCCTAACCTCAAGTTCTCTTACATTAGATAGGGCACTGAAAGTATACATGATTTTCTTCTTCAAAATTTGTATCATGTGCCAGTTTAAACATGTATGTTTGTATACATCTTAGATCAGATTTATTGGCTTTGCTGACGTTGAGTGTTTTTATGTATGCAGTCTAGGAAGTGACATGCCAGGCCTGAGTCAGTTCTGTTTGATGCCTGCACCACCTCGTCATTCATGTATGTGCCTGTCTGTCTTGAGAGTACAGTTGTTTTATTCCCAGTGTGATAACGTTGGGTTCATTTGCAGGTCAGAAGAACTATAGGTGTGCTTTGTGTGACAAGTCTTTTACCCAGAAGGCTCACCTGGAGTCACACATGGTCATCCACACGGGTGAGAAGAATCTCAAGTGTGATTACTGTGACAAGCTATTTATGCGGAGGCAGGACCTCAAGCAGCATGTGCTCATCCACACGCAGTAAGTGTCCTGTGGCCCAGATCCTGCCTCAAGTGGTGAGCCACTTTGTGTAGCTCCTGTACCTGAGGTGCTGAAGGAGCATCTGCTTCCTGCTTTGGTATAGGAAGATGCGTTCTGTGTTCCCCTTGGCCAAGCGGAGCTTGTGCTTTATCCTGGGAAGTTTTTGTTTGCTTTCTGTTCTTACTTTCATATATTTCTCTGTATTCATTTTTATTCATTTTTCTAAAAAATATTATTGAATTTTTGTGTATTTCATACAGAAAATCATCTTTATATCTCCTTCACCCTTCCCTTTGGCACCCTCCAATAGCCTCCCCCACTGGAGTTCATATATTCTGTCATTTGTGTTAAGGTCAATTATGTAAAGTTAGTGTCCCCAGATGTCCTTTACTGCAAGTTCATCTCCCAGGGTTTAGTCAGCCTGTCGAGAGTGTCTCCCTTTGAGAAGATCAGCTCTTCCTCACCCAGCAGTAGTCAGCTGCCAATAATTCTTCGACAGAGATTGGGGCTTGCTGTACATGTCCACAGTTCTGTGCTGGATTTTTGTCTGCCTAAGTTTACATGGGTCTTGTGCATGCTGATACCATTGCTGTAGGTTTGTGTGAGAAGGGTCTCAGGCGTCTGTAGGACCATTTCCATATGGTCATGTACCTCCTCCCTGGATCTTACAATCTTTCCTCCCTCTTCTGCAATGGTCTCTGAGCTCTGGGTGGGTGGACCTCAGTATAGGAGACCTGTCCAAGAACCCTCACTCTGCTGACTCTTATTCTCTGCGTTTTGGCCATTTGTGGACTTCTGTGTTCCTGGCCCTCTGTTGCATGAGGGAGCTTCATTGATGAGATTTGAAAGCTGCATTAGTGCTCTCGTCATCTTTTGTTCTATGTTCTGTGAGTCTTAGGTGTACAGGTTGCATCCTAGATGTGCCACTTAAGCTTGGGCAACTCACAGAGAATTTCTGTATGACCCGTGTTGTCAGGTAGGGCTTTGAACTTTGATCCTCCTGCCTCTACCTCCCAATTGCTGGGATTACAGGCATGCAACAGTTTAGGCAGTGCTAGAGATCAAATGTGGGCTTTATGGATGCTAAGCAGACCCTCTACTGAGCTACATCTCAGCCTGAAAAACATGTTATCTGCCAAGCAAAGAAATTTCATTCTAAAAATATTGGGGAGCCATGGAAAGATCTAGTTCTCAGATTCTGGGACACTTGAGTGCTGCTGCTGCTGCTGGTGTGTGTGTGTGTGGTAAAATTGCGGTTAAAAGGAAAAGCTTATAGCATGTTTGCTGTTTTTAGAAGTTCACTAGTATTAGTTGTATACATGTGGTTCTGTAAGTGCTGAAGGACTTTAAAGAAACAGGTTCATGTTTTGTGACATAGATGTTCTATGAAGAATACTGTGTCATTTGGATAGGACGATTCAAGGGGAACTAACAAGCAGGAGAATTTATTGCTGAATCCAGGTATAGTAAATGGTCTAGCATTAGCCACAGTGGTGGGAGACAGATGAAACATTTGATTGTCCCCAGCCTTGAGTGAGTGTTGGAAGAGAAGAGTGCATTATTAGATAATGTTAGGAAGGTTCTCTAAAGATTCACCAGAGCTTTATATTCTTACTGTAGAGTTTGGAATAAAGACTGCTTCAGGTCAGCTCTTTTGTCTTCTTTCTAATCATAGTGTAACCTGCAACACTTACCAGCTTAAGGAGTCTGGATCTACATTATGGTGCTCAACAGGATTTTTTGTTCTGTTTTGAGACAGTTTTTTTTTAAAAAAATAACAAAACAAAAACCATTTATTTGTGTATATAAAAATATATGTATGTGTGTGGGTGCATAAAAGCCACAGTGTGTGGGAATCATTTGTCTCCTTCTACTGTATGGGTCCCAGGAATTGAAATAAGTCAGCAGGCTTGGTGGCAAGCGCCTTTACCCAGTAGGCCATCTTACCAGCCCTATAAAGGATCTCTTAAAATCTTCATTAGTTGCATTACTTGTGTGAAATTTTGGAAAATTAGATCTTTTTTTTGGTCTTTTTTGAGACAGGTCTCCCAGTAGCCCCAGCTAGCCTGGAATTCACTATGTAGAGCAGGCTGGCCTTGAACTCACAGAGATTCGCCTGCCTCTGCCTCCCGAGTGCTGGGATTAAAGGCATGTGCCACCACGCCTGGCTCCTCCTTTCTTGTCTTTTTGAGACAGGGTCTCCCTGTAGCCCCAACTGGCCTGGAACTTACTTTGTAGACCAGGGTGGCCTCAAACTCACAGAGATCTGCTTGCTCTGCCTCCCAAGTGCTGGGATTACAGCTGTACGCCACCACGCCTGGCTTAGATCCTAATTTTTAAACAGAATTGTACATTGTCAGAGCTGAAGGGTCTCTGGGATTGTGTAAGCTGTCTAACCAGCTCAGGTGGCTGTAACAAAATACATCATGACATAAATATAGACAGCAGCATCCCAGTTGGAGAAAGTAGCGATGGGCAAGCCGTAAGGTCGCCAGGCTGGCTCCCTGCCTTGGATTTCTAGCCTTCAGAGATATGGTAAAGAAGTAACACTTGTGTTGGTTCAGCCTCCCCGTCCCAGGTGGGAGGGTAGGTGGAGAGAGGAATGTGTGAGGGAACCAGAGCTTTGCTCTCTTTCCCTTAAGGTACAAATTTCCGTCATGGAGGCCCATACTCTCTAGTGCACCTAAACTCAATTCCGAAAAGCTTCACCTCCACTGGAGGGCTTCAACATACAAATTCTAGGCCTGTGGAAGGTCAGGTGAGAAGAGACATTTAATTCATCACACTGCCTGTTATAAACATCAAACTGCCTGGGGAGTGTGACGAACTCTTGGTGCCAGGATCAGATCACATCTAGGGATTCTAATGCAATTGGCCAGGATCGTGGCCTTGCTTCTGCCCCTCGCCCCAACATGTTGAAATCGCAGGACTGTACCACCAAACCTGAATTTGGCCTTGCTATTTTTTTTTTCCTTATTTTACTTTTAAGGGAGAAGGGTGTGTGTGTTTGTGTCTGTGTCTGTCTGTCTGTCTCTGTATGTTTATGGGTATGTCTATGCATGAGTGCAGGTTCCTGGGAAAGCCAGAATAGGGCTTCAGATCCCCTGAAGTTAGAGGTGGTTGTGAGCTACCCAGTGAGGGTGCGGGAAACTGAACTCATGTCCTCTGAAAGAGCAGTATGCCTTCTTAAGTGCTGAGTTATCTCTCCAGCCTCTAAGGCCTCCCTATTTTTTTTTAATATTATTATTTTTATTTTATGTCTATGAGTGTATTGCCTGCATGTAGGTGAGTGCACCTGTGTCATGCAATGCCGTGGAGGTCGGAAGAGGGCTTCAGATCCCCTGAAACTGGAGTTAAGGACAGTTTGTAGCCCCCACGTGGGTGCTGGGAATCAAACCCTCTGCAAGAGCAGTCAGTGCTCTTAACCGTTGAGCCATCTCTCCAGCCCCGAGGCCTCCCTATTTTTAAAAGGCTCTCCAAGTGACTCTAATGCCTGCCTACCCATGGTTAAGAACTTGTTCCAAAGGCTATTCTACTTTCCAAAATGCAGATATGTTACTCCTTTTTGAGTACCACACAATTGTAGTTTTGTGCGAAAGTTTTGTTTCAGTCATGGCTGCTATCAGCTTCTCTCCTTTTATTCTACATCTGTCCTATGGAAGGACATACACAGGTTTACTGTATCAGTGTTTTTGTGGTGCTGAGACTCAAAACCAGGGCCTTGTGAAAACTGAAAGCCAGCAGAACATTATTAGCAAACTGCTGGTATTCGCAGCAACGTGAGTGAATTTCACAAGCTTTTTCACTGATGAAAGAAATATATACAGGATAGTCCTGTATGCATGGGATTCTAAAAGAGAAAGGCAGCCTGATTCTAAAAGGATGAACTCTGACAAAAGCCTGAGATGATATTTGGTTGGTTGGTTGGTTTGGATTTTTTGAGACAGGGTCTCCCTGTAGTCCCAGTTGGCCTGGACCTTGCTGTGTAGATCTCTGCCTCTGCCTCCCGAGGGCTAGAACTAAAGGCATGTGCCACCACACCCAGCTAAACCAAGATTATGAAGAATGAGCATGTGCCTCAGTTGTGATTCGCAACTCCATTCAGATGTTTTTCTTGTGTTGCTCTTAGAGAACGCCAGATCAAGTGTCCCAAGTGTGATAAACTGTTCTTGAGAACAAACCACTTGAAGAAGCACCTCAATTCTCACGAAGGAAAACGAGATTATGTCTGTGAAAAATGTACAAAGGCTTACCTAACCAAATATCATCTCACTCGCCACCTGAAAACCTGCAAAGGACCCACCTCCAGTTCCTCAGCACAGGAAGAGGAGGAGGAGGATGACTCTGAGGAGGATGAGCTCACAGATGCTATGAGGACGGATGACTGCAGGATTAGCAGTGCTATGTACTCAGCAGACGAGTCTCTCTCTGCACGTAAATAAAAGGAAGAATACCCGCTTTGGATGGAAACTTCAGTGGGAGAAGCAGCCTGCTACCCAGTACAGTGGTTTTTAAATGAAATGGTTCCTGACTTCCTTCTAGTCTGCAGTCAAAAATGGATTGAGCAGGAATAGATAAAGCACTTACAAGAGTATCCAAATGGAAATACTTTAAAATGGACTGGGTGAGGAGGAGGGCATGTGCTTGTCATATTTTTAAGAGATGAATGGTAAGGAAAGGGTCAGCTTCTGGTGTCTTATTTATGGGACAGTTGAGACTGCATTTATGCCTGAGACAAAGTGGCCTTCTGCCCAAACATAGCGATTTATCTCACATTATTCCATTTTCTTCCTAGCCCTGTGACTAGTAACATTCTAAACTTGACCTTTGCCCCACAGCCATCCCCCCTGCTGCCCACCCATGCATTATGCAGACTGTTGTGAGTTATGTATGTTACAGACTAATTTGGAACACAGCAGTGAAATTGTTCGAGGACTGTGGTTCAGTTAAAAGAAAAGTAGCATCTGTCATAGCTCCTCCTGGCCACTTGGGAGTTTAGATTAGGTCCTGCTTCCCAACTTTTCAGCAGGTGCCTAGAAGGCAAATTAAAAAAAAAAAAAAAAGAGCTGCCGGGTATGGTGGCGCAAGCCTCTAGTCCCAGCACTTGGGAGGCAGAGGCAGGCGGATCTCTCTGAGTTCAAGGTCAGCCTGGTGTACATAGGGAGTTCCAGGACAGCTGGGGCTACAGGGAGACCCTGCGTCAAAAAGAGAAAAAAAGCAAAAACAAACAAACAAAAAAAAAGAGTCATCATTCAAAGAGGCATGACTGCCCAAGGAACCACCTTTCATGGAAGCCAGGGAAGAGTCACCTGGTTATGGTTACATACAAGTCTCTGGTTTAGCCATCCATATAATGCCTGCTGAATAGTCCACTGTCAGCAACCACATGTGAACTCACCTGACAAGTGGTACCTCAGTCCATGGGGGAAAGGAGGAAAGTAATCTTTTATGTTTGGTTGACTTTATGAAATAGTGTCCAGACACTATTAAAACATTGTCAGCTCAAAGCAATAAGCAGTTCCAAATGTATTGGTGGGTTTGCACTGTTAGGCCTTCCCAGTTCCCTCACCAGGTAAGCATGAGGTTTGTCCAAAGACTTGGAAGATAGGGAAGGCTTAACTAAGTTCACCATATGGGGCCCATTTCAGGTCACTGAGCAGGCATAACCATCGGTGGCAAGCAATAGACACATCCTGAGGTTGACAAGGCTGATGGAAAGCCCTCCTGCTCAAAGGCACAACCTTGGCTGGAGTGAAGACTCTGGCGGATGGTTTTGCTGCTAATGTATTTATGGAATGAATGTATTTCATTCAAGTCTGTATTCCTCTAGGAAGGACTGAAATAAATTTTTAATAAAAATACTTTCTCATCTTTTCTGGAAGGAGATGAACAGGTGTTTGAAGGAAATCAAGTAAAACTTGAGTCTGAAGTTAAAAGAGAAAGCTTTTCTTGGTTAATTTAGCTCTGAGATTTTTCTATTTAAAAAAATTTTTTTATTTTATGTGTGTGAGTGTATTGCCTACATGTAGGTAAGCGCACCCGTGTCGTGCAGTGCCCACGGAGGTCAGAAGAGGCTGTCACATCCCCTGGAACTAGAATTATGGACAGTTGTTAGCTGCCATGTGGGTGCTGGAAATCGAACCCAGGTCTTCTGCAAGAATAACCAGTGTTCTTAACCGCTGAGCCATCTCTCCAGCCCTGAGATCATTTCTTAATTGTGAGTGCTTCGAGAAACTGCTCCTGGGATTTCTAGCTCTCTCCACCTGCCCTCTTCCTAAGGTGTGTACCTTAGTGCCTTCTTGGAAGACTAGCATGTTTACAGCAGAGGTTGGGTGGCTATGGGTGACTGCTAACACTGGGTCATGAAGCCTCATCTGGGCAGCTTTCATGCCTGGAGCAGCTCCAAGGTTAGCCTTCTGCCAAAGGCAGCAAGCTTCCCTGTTAGCAGGAAACCATCGGTGCCAGAACTAATGCCTTCCTTTATCAGTAGCACACACTAGATTAAATTCCTATGTTGCCCTGAACAGAGATGCTCCCCCAAATAGGAAAGCCTAATGTCAAAAGCCCTAAAAGCACGAGGAAGTACAGAAAACAGTCACTTGAAGTGAGGGTATAGCAGGTATTTTTTTCAACTGTTGCTTCTATTTTTTTTTTTTTTTTAATTTTTAAATCATTCTCCTAAGATCAGTAAGCACCCTTTGACAGGATTTACTCTGACCATCTCTGCTCAGTTGTGGTCTTATCCTCTGCTGCTTCTGGGTCAGTGCTCACATTGACAGGCAGTGTATGAGTGGGCTCTTGAGCCCTGCTGAACATTCTCTTGTCTGGAATTTACTCTGTGATGATGCCAGTCCAAGGTGTGAACTACCTAGTCAGCTTGCATCCTCAGGCACATTGAAGGATGACCTCTCCACATACACAAACCATCAGTCTGTGTGGACTGAGTTGTCTTCTCCCATTTATGTTGAAGTCTATAAACTCGAATATCAGAATGTAGAAATTATTTGATCACATAATTAGGTTAAAATGAGAGTCTTAGACTGGGCCTCACTGCAAAGATTAGTGTTTTTAAGAACAGAGAAGTTTTGGTACAGGAAGAGGATGGATACCTGTAAGTCAAGGAGAGAGCGCCTTCTCTTAGCCCCCAAACAGCCCTGCCAGTGCCCTGATCTGAGATGCTCAGGCTCTAGAACAATGAGATAGTATCTGCTGTGTAGGGCTTGCAGTCTGTAGTCTTATCCTGGCAGCCCTGGCAATACTAATCGTACCTCTAAGGATAGCGTGAAGAGTAGCTTCCAGAATAATCAGTAGGAGCAACGTGAAAGGCAGTTACTGTAGTGTCTGCCTTGCCACCAGCAGAGTAGTACCTGAATGGGCAGACAGCACCTGGATGACTTGTTCCTTGGTTGTTTTTTTTTTTTTTTTTTTTTTTTTTTTTTTTTTTTTTTTTTTTTTTTTTTTGAGACAGTCTCTCCTTGTAGACCCAGCTGTCCTGGAGCTCACTATGTTTTTTAATGTATACACTAGAGGGTCATCCAGCCCAATCAGGTTTTTAGAGACCTTAGGCAAGGATAGGTTTCTTTTCAGAAATTGTTGGTTCTGTAGTTAAGAGTACTGGCTGCTCTTGTAGGACCCCAGTTGGGTTTCTAGCACCCACATAGTGGCTGACAGTCCATAACTCCCATTTCAGGAGACCCAGTGTCCTCTTCTGGCCTCCCCAACATGGCTACACTTACATATATGCAAGCACTCATACATATAAACCAATTTGAGGCATTGTAGAGGGGATGATAAAATTGGGACTGTGCCCTGGCCCGTGGATTCTCAAAAATTTGCAGTACATTCAAGATCTGGCTTCACATACAGATTGCCCAAGGAATATGAAGCCTCAGGTGTCTAGCCAGCCTGCTGGGCTTCTCTGGCCATCCTGGAGTAGTTTCATGCAGGATCCTGCAAGTGCAGATGCAGAAAGCTGGGGTCAGGCAAGCAGTTAAATTACTTAGGAGGGCATGGTCTAAGCAACATGTCATTAGAGGATTCATCTCTTTGCAACATCACAGGATGTACTTTCACAGACCAGATGACATGGGCCACTCAGTGTGACCTCAGTGCAATCAGGAAACAGAAAAAACACTTGATGTGTAAGGCTGCTGCTGGCATAGTGTGGCCAGGTGGTTTATAGTAATTTATAAGTAGGAATATATTAAATAGTAGAAGAGCAGTAACAGTCACATATCAAGGATTACATACTGTGTGTCATTGTGCTGTACTTTTTATAGTGCTGGCTGCCCCAAGTTTACACTAGTGTCACCACAGACCCTGAACTATATTGTTACCATGTCTGTGCTATAACTAGCCCATAGCAGATTGTCAACTCCATTATAATCATTGGGACCCACCACTCACTGTCATTGATTGGAATACTGTTACATTGCTGTTAACTGTAGGCACAAAATGTTAAAATCCAGGCGCAGTAAAAAAGTCATGCCTGAGAGAGGAGTAAAGCAAAGTGTACAGGTAAGCCTGCTTCAGTGGTATAAAAGCCAGCCAGGTGCTGAAGAAATCAGATCATACATTTGAAGCAAGACTACCCACTTTAGAATGCCAAGCTTACCAAATCACTGATAGGTTTTATTGTATTTATTTTATTTTATGTATATGGCTGTTATGCCTGCATGTAAGTGCACCCATGTTGTGTAGTGCCTGTGGCAGGCAGAGAAGGGTGCTGGATCACCTGGAACTGGAGTTATGGACAGTTGCTAGCTGCCGTATGGGTGCTGGGATTTGAACCTGGGTCTTCCACAAGAGTAGCCAGTGCTCTTAACCGCTTGAGCCATCTCTCTAGCCCAGATTTTTATTATTTTAAATTACAACGCTCATGATTATTTGTGGCAGACATTGTCCTAGTACCTTCTAAGTAACACAGTCTAAACAAAGGACCTGTAACCAGTATTTTACACACACAACTGAGTTATAGAGAAGTTAGATCTTAGGCCCACAGTTACAGAGCCAGGAAGAGGCAGAGCCAGGATTTAAAGTCTGCATCTAACTGCTGAGTTCATTGGTTTTCCAGTGGCCTATTTGTAACGGGATCTTACATAGCATATATCTGTCTGGGTAGTGTTTGATCTTAAATGTCCTCCAAAAGCCCATGTGGAATCTTTGTCTTCAGCCAGTGGCACTGCTGGGAGGTGGTGGAACCTTTAGGAGATGGGACTTCATGCAAGGAAATTCAGTCCCTGTGGTTGTGCCCTTGAAGGATGGGTACTAGGCCCACCCTGGGCCTTCTCTCTGCTTCCTGGCCCCCGGAAAGAGAGCAGCTTCTGCTCCTCCAGGTCCCACCTCCATGGTATACTGTTTTATCACAGGCCCCAGAGCAACAGGGCCAACCAGAAAGAACCCCTTGAAACCATGATCCAAAACGAATCTTGGTAGTTAATTATTCAGTTAATTATTTTGTCATACTGATGGAAAGCTAACACACCAGGCAGCTACAAATCTTCAAAGGAAATCACAAAACCTGAAACTTGCATTTAAAAATGCATTTATATCCATGTAGCTGTGGGGCTCAAGGTTTGTTGTGTAGCCCTCTCTTGCCACCACAGCCCTTTCTATTCTGCTGCACATGGGCTTTGGCGTAGAACCACCATAATGCTCAGTTTATGCCCAGAATGGGGGAGAAAGTCATTTGAGATGAAAGGTAGTTGCTTTAGGAATATGTGTATCTTGCAGTCCCTCATTGGTCGGTAAGGACTATTTCCCCTTAGCTAGTGTTGCCTGGTGACACAATGGACACATGGTCCATTGTATTAGTTATTCTTCTGTTGCTGTGATAAAAACACTGACCAAAACAACTTTAGAAGGAAGAGTTTATTTACATTTATGGTTTCAGAGGGCTCAGAGTCCATCATGGTGGCAGGAGGTGGCCAGACCAGGGAGCAGGAAGCAGAGTGCTCACATCTTTAAGCAGGCACAAGAAACAGTTACTGGAAATCTAGCAAGGCTTAAGAACTCTCAAAGCCTGCCCCCAGAGACATGCTTCTTCCTGTAAGTCCAGACCTCCTAAAACACCATGAAACAGCGCCACC